TGGGAAGCTGGAGGGGGGCCTGGCTCGGGGAGAGGTGGGTGCATTGGGGTACTTAAAAATTTTTTTTAAATAAAAGATACTTTATAACAGAAGGGAAAACCTTAAAAAAATAATAGTCTAGTTATATTTTAAAGACTAACAAACAAAGATCAGGCATGTCAAACTTGAAGCCCACTGAGGGCCACACAAATGAAAACTGATAGCTTTCAGAGCAAGTTGTAATTATTATTATAGATTATATTTTAGGTATATTTTATATTGTTTTGGGTCTTGTTTTAATATAATACAATAATTTGATGTGTAAAATTGTTATTTCCTCATAAAATAATTTTTAATTTAAATATACATTTAAGGTACTTCTACATTTTGTATATGATACATAACTTGTTTTGTTGAAATAAAAACAAGTATAGACCATGGTCAATCAAGTAGAACAGGCGTCTGTGAAAATTTCAGATACTTTGTAAGTTTGAGATTTTGCATAAACATATAATTATTCATGCAATTGCAAAAATTGACATATATTGATATAAAATTAATATACATTTTGTGATTTTATTTGGAAATAAATAAATAAAAACCAAAAAATTAACAAAATATCTCCCTCCACTCCCGTATCCCTGTTCTAACCCAGTTCCCCTCCATTCCTCCAGAGCACCCGCCCTGTTCTAACCCAATGCCTCCTCCCTCCCCCAAAATCAGGCACTCCCCCCATACCTAATGCCTGGGTTCTGGACCCAGTGTCACCGCCACCACACATTACTTCCTCAGGTGCTCGGGAGACATGAGCACAGCAGCCAGCTGTGAGCAGGCACTTGATGCCTCTGCAGAGCAGCCCAGCCAGCTGTGATCTGCACTCGGCCACGTGCTCTGAGTGGCCAGTGGGCTGAACTTTATTCTTTTATAAAATGGAGTGGCAGGCCACAAAAAAATTTCGATTGGGCCACATGCAGCCCTCCAGAAGCCTGTTTGACATGCCTGATGTAGATGGTGGAATGAGCTTTGTGGGCACAACCCACTTCCACCCACGAAAGCTCATGATACCATCTACATAAGGGGTGGGCAATAATTTTTGCCCAGAGGCCACTTAAAAATTTTTCAAAGTAGCCCTGGGGTCACCACAGAAGGGGCAGGGCCTAAACAGGAAGGGGTGGGGCTATCCAAACAATGATTGGTCTGGGGTGGGGGAGCCCCTTTGCCCC